AATTATACATTTAAGTACTGAATAATATTGATTAACTACATGTACTTACTATATGGTTAGGGTTAGGATTAGGGTTTGGTTTAGGGTTACTTGCATGCAATTATGCATAATTTATTGTTATTATAATAGTAAGTACATGTAGCATGTGTAATAAGGACACCTTAAAATAAAGTGTTACCAGTGCACTTCATTTTAGAACCAAAGTGTGGACTCGGAGAAGGATCGTAAGAGATGAAGTCGAAGATGTCTTACCTTTGGGGTGGGATTGTTGATGCATTCAAACTGTAAGTTGTCGGGGGAGATTGTGGAAGATGCATTAGTATGACCAGCAGAGCTCTGACTCCTCTGGAAGTTTCTTTTGGGTGAGTTACACCTGCAGAGGGAAGTCGACGTCCCCTGGAGCTGTGTGGAGAGGCTGCAAGGTGAAGGCAGCTTGAGGAAGTTTGATGATCCACAAGCGTGCAAGTCTTTCAACCCTGGTCCTTGTCTTGGCAAACCCGAACCACCCCGTTTGGACTGTGCTTCACCCTCAGCAAGACCATCTTCTTCTGTAAATTCTTCATCTTCAGAGTCAGAAATGGTGAATCTGACTCGGGCGTTCATCGTGTGGTAGTGAGCAGCATTTAAGCTGCGGCTGCGGGGATGAGGGTTGGGCTCCCAGAAGTCACTGCTCCAGCGGCTGGCTAACCTACTCTCCTGAGGGCTGCTGAACATCATCCAGTAAGGAGGACAGGTTGCCGTAGGCTCACAGGAAGAGCGGGGATTGAGGGTTGGATAGCCGCCCTGGAAACCCGTGAGAACCCAGTTCTCCAGGCTGAACACATACTGAAACATCAAAACACAAAAGAGACATCTTTCCATTTGATTTTTACACAATAACATCAATGTCACACATCATCTGATGAGATCTAAACCAAAGTTTTTCATAACTTGCAGTTTACATGCCAAGTCTACATCAAAATGGAGCCAACTGGGAACATGTCAGTCCTATTCTGACTACAAACACACAATCTATATTTAACTTGCAACCCTATTACTTACATTACAGATATCGCAATTTTTTTTATCTACAGACCAGAAAAAAATGCTTATGATGGTTTCATCCTAGAAATAATACACACAATTTTGAAATAAGGCTGAAATAGAGTACATGGCTTATGCCCACATTTTGACCCAGATTTGCAGATGAATCGCAGCTTTTTACCAAAAATCAGAACCAGTCTGCAGATTTTGGACAGTTGGAATTGGCAGATTTTTCAGGAAATCATGTATTGAATGATGGACACAGTTTCCAATTTTTTTAGCTCCAGATTATGAATGCATGCAGTCGGAGGATATCAGACATGTTAGATATTTTAGACACATATGTTTTAATTTGTCATGCATCTCCAAGCAACAAGATGCATGTTTCTGTGTAAGTTTGTTGCATTCAGAATGACTTGAAAGTCTGCTAGTGTGTGATCCTCAATCGTTTAGTGTATATATTGTAGGGTGACCATATTTTAGTTGTCCAAAAAGAGGACAGAGGAGACGGGTTTCGGGGGCGGGGTTTGCCCAACACAGTATACAATATACATAGCAAGGTTTTTTTTTTTGTTGCTTGTTTTGTTTTTATAATAAATAAATATAAAACAGGTCAATAAAACAGAAAAGAATAGATAATGCTAGTGTTAGAAGGTCATTATTTATAATAAATAAAAAGAAAATAAGTCAAACGAATTTCTAGCTAGAATAGAAATAGAAATAGAATGCAAATGTTAGAGGGTTAAGTTTTTAAATTAAAAAAACAAGCAGATAAAATTAGAATTAGCATTAGAAGAGGGCTCTAGATTTAGAGGGTCAAATGAAGATGAAAGACATGTGTTTTCAGTTGTTTCTTGAAAATGATTAAGGACTCAGCAGCTTGGATTGAGTTGGGAAGGTTATTCCACTAGGAGTGAACAGTTAATATAAATTAAGTTTTGCAATATTTCAAACCTTTAAACCCACTTGGGAAAATCAACCCATGGCAACAGTTTAAAAGTAGCCCAATTATGTGGAAAAAACACGGACTTGGCAACCCTGCAACCAAGAAGAGCTGCCGGAGTCAGATTTGACTGATCATAGTTCAAGAATTAGGAGAGATGACTGACAAGACCATGCTGGAGTATTTGCTGCTCAACAGATCCTGAGCTCATTGACAAATATCTGATCTTGTAAGATGTGCTCCCTTTACACAGAGTGCATGAGATCGCGAAATCGAAAGTGAACAGCACGAACGCTCATTCAAAAGAGATTTAAATAGATTTTAACAGATTTTAAGATTTAAATACTCAGCATACTGAGAGCGGGTACTTGATGCGCCAAAATTATATAGGCTACAAAATTAGACTGTTTAAAGGAGTGGACATGAAATTCGCGGGAGCAGGCGGCAATGGTCAACAATTCAGTGGGAGCAGGACTAAGTAAACAACCGAATCCCGGACATTTTGGGCGGACGGCCGGACGTGTTTTCTTAGTCTGGTCCGGGGAATGGAGGACGTACGGTCACCCTAATATATTGCCCAGTTTTTCTCAATTACTATTTCTAAAGTTAGTCAGCAATGCCTAATGATTGCCTAATGTTTTAATGTTGTTCAGATTTTTAAAGTCAAGTAGTATTCCAGCTTTTAGTTGTCTGCATGGGCTTTTGTTAGCACTATAACTAAATTAATATAAATTAATAAATGAATCAAGAATAACTACATTTGATCAACAGCACTGGTAACTTATGTGATTCTGCATCCAAGCCACTAGGTGTCAGTGTAAAGTCCAAGATCACTAACATCAACAAAGCAAATGAGTACACGACTAGGGGTAATTCCTAATAATTGCATAAATACTGCAGTAACTAGCCCTCATAAAGCAAGATATGCTTTAAGAGTTGCACAAGTAACTTCAACTTCATCTAAATGAATGATGAGCTACTGCTTGAATATTACTAATATTACTAACTGATAATATAATTACTAACTGTAATATAACCAGTGTTGGGGAAAGTTACTTTTAAAAGTAATGCATTACAATATTGCATTACTCCATAAAAAAAGTAACTAATTACGTTACTTAGTTACTTTTTTATGGAAAGTAATGCGTTACTTTACTAGTTACTTGAAAAAAGTAATCTGATTACGTAACTTGCGTTACTTGTAATATATTACCCCCAACACTGAATATAACTAGCTAATATTACTAATCTGAATATTACTAACATCTGCCGTTATCAGCATTATGAATCATAGAGTACCACAAAACAGATGTGAAAAAAAGAGAAGTATACACACCAGCCAAATATTACACAACAATTTGCATCCTATTCATGTCCTAAATGCAAAATCAAGTGAGCAACGCTCTAGGGCAGGTACACAATGTTGCTCTTAGATGGACGTGGAACAAACAACTAAGAATTTACAAAAACTTAAGTTCAACACATAGCCATAAAAGGTTCAACATTAGCTTATTTCGATTAGATTGTAATAACCTCTGACAGCAGTTTGTTTTCTTTGCAAAGACCTTAACCAGTAACACACAAACTCTTAGGAATTTTATCCCAATGGATCTACAATAACAATTGCATCAACAATATTCCATAGATTACTGACAGCCAAGAACTTCTTTCACCCTTACTGTTTAGTATTTGTAATCAGAGATATAATTATACTGTATTTTTGACATGGTCCTCATGCCAATCGCACAGCTCTGGGCTAAACAAACTAGACTAGACAGATTACATGTCAGCGTAATTATAGAGCAATCATAGATGGGAATGGGTTAGATATGGCAGGTATACGCTTACACCAATGCATGTTACAAGTGTCTTTGTATTTTCCCATGACCTTGTTAGTGACAGCCTGTACTATTAATATGAACTAAATTACATTAAGGCCGATGGCTGCTGTAATCAGTGGATGCTCATGGCAAATTACATTGAGCCGAATACAGTTTATGGAAGTCGCAGATACTCTCTTGGAAACCGTCTTTAAGATCTCAGAAACATATACATTAATTTAGTAGAGTTCCCTTGAGAGGTGCCTTCTCTCGATCTGTGATGAATATTTGTGTGATACAGGCTGCTTTTTTAAAGAAATTAATACTTTTATTCAGCAAGAATGCATTAAAATAGTTTAAAATGGCACTGTAACTGGGATGAGCCGTGATATACATTTTTGGTCATACCGCCCAGCACTACCAGACGGCCTGCTGACGCTCTTCACTTTTGACAGATGCTCCGATCTGATGCTGCTCCGCACCTTTCTCACCAGATGGTTTTAGATTTTCAATCTGAGCCGAGTCTTAACAGCCAGATGCTCGGTATAAGCTCTTAATGTGTTTTCCTTCTTGTGCAAGAAAGAACAATGGCAAGTTCAATAAGTTACAGTATTCTGCCTAAATCATCGGCAGAAGATACTGGAAGTGAATGAGTAATCTATAACAATGCCTCACTTGAGAAAAAAAATGGTGTAGGATTGACTTATTTCCACTCAGAAATTGCAAAAAGTGGTAACACACTGAATTAAATGTGAAATTATGAAATAGAAAGACTAAAATAGTATTTTCTTGTAAAACACAATCCAATAATCTTTATTTGCAACTTATCAAAATATCTACAACAAAATATCGGGTCTAGTAATGCTGTGCTAGTAATAGAGAAAAGAGCTTTTAGTCCAAAACCTACTGAAATAAACACTGGAGTATATCTAAACTAATAAGATGCTGGTAACACTTTACAATAAGGTTCCATTTGTTAACATTAGTTAACTACATCGGTTAAAATGAACTAACAATGAAAAATGATTCTAAAGCACAGCATAGCAAATCTTAATGTTGTTAATTTACTAATACCTTAATAAAATCAGAAGTTGTATCTGTTAATATTATTTAATGAACCAGAGTTACTATGAACTAACAATGAACAGTTGTCATTTTTTAGTAATTAACATTCAGATGAATAAATACTGTAACAAATGTATTATTGTAAGTTGATGTTAGTTATATCATTAACATTAACTAATAACACCGTATTTGTAAAGTGTTACCAACATAGTTTGCTTAATTTGACATAACAGAAAATTAAATGGATAAAAATAATGAATAAAAATATATATATTTAAATATTAATAGTTATTTTCAGAAATAGTTAAGTCTCATACATTTTTTTAAATTTTGGATTTTTTAAAAAACATTGCAATACTGTAATGGCATACTGTATTTACTGTACACTTTTTATAATCAAATGAAGTTGTTTAATGTAATATCAGCATAAAAATGTTTTATATTATATGTGAAATGTTAAATATTTCCATATTATACTTAAATAGTATAAAACATTTAGAAATATATCAAATTCTACATTACATTTATATTACATAGACTGAAATCAAACAGCCTTCATTTAAACTGATGACATTAATGAAAATAATGACTTAACGCACCAAATGCATTTAAATATTATTAAAAAGAACGAAGAATTCCAAATTTAACAACATTTTCACACACACTCTACTCAACACTAGAAGTTAACAGTGAGTGTTAATAAATGTTTACTCACCTCCTGGGTCTCCTGAGTGTGGCTGGTCTCAGTGGTGTGATGTGGACAGTGTTACCGTCACTCTTCACAGAGCCACGGGTTGATTTCTCTGCTCCAATAATCCACTGACACAACACACACTGACATTGGCTGTTTACCTGAGCCGCCGCACACACCTACAGGAAGTCAACCTGAAGCATCCACATTCAGAAAACCATCATAGGAACACTTTATTTTCTTTGACAAATAAAGAATTATTTTGTCATGTGAAATATTACACACAGATAAT